CACTGGACCTCGGCAGGTCGGCAACCACTGGACCTCGGCAGGTCGGCAACCACTGGACCTCGGCAGGTCGGCAACCACTGGACCTCGGCAGGTCGGCAACCACTGGACCTCGGCAGGTCGGCAACCACTGGACCTCGGCAGGTCGGCAACCACTGGACCTCGGCAGGTCGGCAACCACTGGACCTCGGCAGGTCGGCAACCACTGGACCTCGGCAGGTCGGCAACCACTGGACCTCGGCAGGTCGGCAACCACTGGACCTCGGCAGGTCGGCAACCACTGGACCTCGGCAGGTCGGCAACCACTGGACCTCGGCAGGTCGGCAACCACTGGACCTCGGCAGGTCGGCAACCACTGGACCTCGGCAGGTCGGCAACCACTGGACCTCGGCAGGTCGGCAACCACTGGACCTCGGCAGGTCGGCAACCACTGGACCTCGGCAGGTCGGCAACCACTGGACCTCGGCAGGTCGGCAACCACTGGACCTCGGCAGGTCGGCAACCACTGGACCTCGGCAGGTCGGCAACCACTGGACCTCGGCAGGTCGGCAACCACTGGACCTCGGCAGGTCGGCAACCACTGGACCTCGGCAGGTCGGCAACCACTGGACCTCGGCAGGTCGGCAACCACTGGACCTCGGCAGGTCGGCAACCACTGGACCTCGGCAGGTCGGCAACCACTGGACCTCGGCAGGTCGGCAACCACTGGACCTCGGCAGGTCAGCAACCACTGGACCTCGGCAGGTCGGCAACCACTGGACCTCGGCAGTTACCACCATTTGAAATTTGTTTGGTTATAATTGAAATAAAATCAAAAAGATATTTGACATGTGTAAAAACATAAGCGTTGAAAAAAAGAAATGGGATGACACAGAGCGAAAATAAAACTTCTTTAGCTTAGATTTATTTCCATAATAAGAAACAATGACGTGGGTTGCTGCAAGTTAAGGAACTTTAACATCCCCTAATAACAAAACGGTTCAAAGAAATCCTTTATAAAATGTCATATTTCATATCCAGCAATTGGGGGTGGGTTGAGTACTGGAAAAAACATGCATACAAGTTACAAGTACCATTCTTTTTAAGAAACCCAAACAGTGCCCCCCCCCCCTCTCGAGGCTCACAACCGCACAGTTTTCTCACGCCTTTGACTTACATTAATTGAATCTTCTAATGACCAGCCCGCTTTTACCACGCACATTTATTTCACAAACACTTTCAGAACTAAAAAATATTACACACCAAACGCACTTGCGATATTAAAAAAAAAATAAAAATCTCACTGAGCGCAGTTATCGGGACCTTTATTTCGTGAAAGTGAACTCATATTTCATGTTTTGAAAAATAGGAAAAACTGATTAAGTAGGTGGGGCTGAATTTTTTAGAATGAGTTGTCATCGGCAATGAGTCTATGTGCACTCTGATTAGTTCAGTGTAAACACCCTGCACTATGATTAGTTCAGTGTACACTCCTTGCACTCTGATTAGTTCAGTGTACACTCCCTGCACACTGATTAGTTCAGTGTACACTCTCTGATAGTTCAGTGTACACTCCTTGCACTCTGATTAGTTCAGTGTACACTCCTTGCACTCTGATTAGTTCAGTGTAAACACCCTGCACTCTGATTAGTTCTGTGTACACTCCTTGCACTCTGATTAGTTCAGTGTAAACACCCTGCACTCTGATTAGTTCAGTGTACACTCCCTGCACTCTGATAAGTTCAGTGTACACTCCCTGCACTCTGATAAGTTCAGTGTACACTCCCTGCACTCTGATAAGTTCAGTGTACACTCCCTGCACTCTGATAAACTCAGTGTACACTCCCTGCACTCTGATAAGTTCAATGTACACTCTGATTAGTTCAGTGTACACTCTGATTAGTTCAGTGTACACTCCCAGCACTCTTATTAGTTCAGTGTACACTCTGATTAGTTCAGTGGACACTCCCAGCACTCTGATTAGTTCAGTGTACACTCTGATTAGATCAGTGGACACTCCCAGCACTCTGATTAGTTCAGTGTACACTCTGATTAGATCAGTGGACACTCCCAGCACTCTGATTAGTTCAGTGTACACTCTGATTAGATCAGTGGACACTCCCAGCACTCTGAT